ATCCTGATATGATGACATACATGTCCATCATCAAGGGGCTTTGCGACTCAGGTCGGGTGGAGGAAGCTTCCGAATTGGTCAAGACCATGAAACTACACAGATGTGAACCGAATGCAGTTGTGTACTCCACCCTTCTTGATGGGATATGTTTGCACGGGAATCAGGAGCTGGCGCTCAAGTTCTTGACTGGTATGGAGAGTGAAAATGGGGGGAGCAATCCGAATCTTGTGACCTACACGATCATGGTCAAGGGCTTTGTTGAGAAAGGGAGGTCACTTGAGGCTGTGAGGCTTCTGAATCGGATGGAGGATTTTGGAGTCCGGCCGAACAAGGTGACCTTCACAACTCTTCTTGATGGGCTCTGCAGGGAAGGGCACGTGAAGGAGGCTTCTGATGTGGTCGATAGGTTTAGCTCTATTGTGGCCCGGGAAGATGAGCTTCGTAGCTGGCTTGTGGTATCATTGATGCGGGCAGGGAGGCATAAGGAGTCAGAGAGGGAGTTTAGGTTAATGATGGCCCGTGGGCTGAGACCCGGAGGGCCTGCATCTGGTGCAGTCGTTGAGAGGATGGTTTCAGAAAAGAGGGTGGTGGAGGGATTTCTGTTGTTGGACGGGCTTGTGAAATCGGGAAATTTGCTTGGTATTGATTCTGATGTTTATACGCTTCTGCTGGCGGGTCTGTGTCAGGAAAATCGTTTTGTCGAGGTTGGGAAGCTGGTTAGAGTTATGATCCAGAGAAAAATCCGTGTGAAGTCCGTTCAGGCTGATGATATAATCGGAATACTCAATAATTGTGGAGAATATGATTTAGCATCGGATGTTGCAAGGATCAGATGCTGATTTGTATGTATCTACATTGTGGCCTTCATTCTGTAGGTCTGTGGGATGTTGCTTTGCTGGATGGAGGAATTCAAGGACGGAAAATGAGTTGGGAAGAGTACTGATTATACGAGGAAGTGAGGAATTCCGGTGTTGTTGTCAACAAAGGCATGAAATATTTCAATTTTTTATTTTTGTATAAAAAGAAATTGATTTAACTGTACCAATGCACGGGAATTCTGAATGAAGATGTTGCTGAGCTTTGTAACACTGTATTTCCCGAAGATGGAATAAGTGACGAGGTATCTTATCAATCAACTAATGTATACATTATACATGGTTACCAATTCCATGTCAAAACTGGCCCGTATGTATTCCACTCCCAGATGATTTTTCTCGGATTTTCATTCTCTACTCTTAATTGTTTTGCTTGTGTGTTTTACATGTCCAGTGGTTTCTTGATCCTAGAACAACTTTGCACGGTGTTCAGTTGCAAATTTCTAGCATTGTAGCAACGATGGGAGGACCGATGGGTGGATGGTTTTGCTTCTCGAAATATATATAGATGGTGTTGACTTGCCTTCTTTTTCCCCCTTTTAGGCTACGTAAATCATTCGGGCCACCGTATTTTACTCGTCATAATTTAATTTAAAAAAGGGTAAGTTACATATTAGTATTGTGCCAAAATGCAAGAAGATCGTTAGTTTTAAGAAGATTGGACTAGGTGAGAACACAGCTGAACAATCATAGACTCTCCATGTACTATTCATCTGCAGTTATTTGATTGTAATTGGTGAAACGATCAGTTACACGATTTAGGCTGTAATATATGCTTATGATCTAGTTTATTCGATGCTAGTTACAGTGGCTGTGGGGATAGATATGATTAAATTAAGATATTACTACTAGAATCCTCTTATGATTTCCTATAAAGGAAAAGCATAATCTCTATTTTGAAGATTGCATAGGAACGGTTTACTGTAATATGCCTTGCTCAAAATAGTCATTTTCTTTTTTGTGAACTAATCAGATATATGGACCATAAAGACTAGTTCCATGCTTTTCTTGATTGTTTTGAATGACTTTTAAGAGTGTATGGTATGAAAACAGTTCGATTTACTCAATGCAACAGTTAAATTTAAGTTGCACACATGCGACTTTAGATTCAGCTATGTCCTCGCCGTTGTAAGAACTAAATTTCTTCCAATATTGTGTTTATATGATGCAAATTATAACTTTCTCTTGAGGTTTTTTCGGTTACAGCCCCAAATTTTAACTTAGGGCCATCTTCATGTGTATCAATAAGTAGCTATTTCTTTACTTTGTTTGGCGGTTTTTGATTAGTTCTTGCGTTCGAAGCCATTTGTGCTATTAGCTGTTTGAATAATGTTAGGCTATGAATTTTACATCAGATGCAACCTTTTGCAATTGTATCACTTGGGACAGAAAACATGATATGCTTGCCTTCGTAATTTTACAAATTCTTCAATGGTCAGACGCACCAACACATCAGACATTTTCTAATGAAAATGCATACATACACTGTAAAATATCATGATTCTGATTATATTACTTTTTCATGTATGACATATTAGTGTGAAGTATTTATAATTGTCTGAAAAAAAGTATGACAGTCTGACGTTTAAGATCGAATGGAAAGAGGTAAGACATGTGATCTGATCATACAAATATTTGAAAGAAACATTTCATTTGGGCCAGCTTCATTTTTCGTTTCTTTTTCCGTATTCAACACCTGAATCTTGATCCTGATAGAATTCTCCGGGTTTCATTTGTTCGTGTTTTGTTGGGTTAGCATGTTTTGTTCATCGAAAGTTTGGATGTGGTTTGCTTAATGGTTTCTGATCTTGGGCAAGGGATTTGAGATAATTGTGTGACTGAGGAAGAAAAGGGCATTTGAGTTGATCAGGGTTCGAAGGTTTTCTCCATTTTTTTGGAGTTTGATGATCTTTAAATGGTCTTTTATTGATGAAATCTGTTTGAGAGTGGAGTCATACAAGGTTGGATCTTTTTAGTAAATGATATTGTAGAAAAAAAAAAAAAAGCGTAGAATTCATGATTTTGTGTTGATGCTCTGAATTAAATCATAGGCAACTAAACCATATCATTTTGCATTTGGAGGCATGTGAATGAATATGAACAAGACCCAAACATAGTTACGTAAGCATCACTAACGTTTTGGTTCAATCACAAAAAGTTATATGTCATCTAAGAAATAGAGACATCTAAAAAAATATATTCTTTAATGCAAATAAAAGTATAGTGGGTCATGTTGATTTGGCAGCCAGAAAAATAGAACCAGTCTACCCTTAGTCTATTTTAGACTCAAGTAGAGATCTAGTCTTTTTATATTGGAGTAGATTTTGTTAATTTTACATAGTTTTATTTATGTCATCCAAAACGTGAGTTTATTTACATGTCACATAGGCAAGACTAAACTCAATACATTGTAGATGTTAAGTAACTTATGAATTCCAAAGCGTAAAATGATTGGATTCCCATGAAAGCTGAATTTCATATGTGGATTTAAATTAAAAATTTAATATGAAAATGCTCTAATACCACTTGTTTAAATTAATCTTATGAGAAAACTATGGCTTAAATTCAAGAGTTCATATTACATTATCGACAATCATAACTAGATAGTAGAAACTTACCTTAATCGAATTTATGGATCTAAACATTTTTTAACTTAATGTCGATTGCGAACCACAACATTTTCTTTTATAGTATTTATCAACTAAATTTCCTTACGACCTTATTTTGATGGGGAGAATAGAAAAATGTATGTGATTTAGTACATTGAATACCATAATTAAAGGAATCTTTAGTATGCCACCCATAATCACCTGATCTTAGTAATATTAGGTTTCTACTCTATAGTTCTATATCAGTTAGGTAGTCTATGCACTTTTGCCTTATTTGGATCACTTAATTAAGTCCGTAAAATAATTGAAAAGTTAATATAATTACATAAAATATAGCCGAAAATTAGATTATACATAGCAATATAGCATAGAGAGTTCGGTCTTAAATTGTGGCTCTTATATAACTCGGTTATAGATCGAAGCTCTTTTAGCTCGACTTAGAGGCAATAGGTCGGGTAGGACGAGGTCCCTAAGGGCAGGAGTCGAGTTATCATCCTGGGGGCTAGGCAACCTAAGCCTCGGATAGCGAACTAGTACAAGATGAGCATATCTGACACAAGAGGGTGACCTAGCTGACTTGATTGTCAGAGGCTCTACGTTGGCAATCCTCCCGACACTTTTTTTTGTATTCAACCGAAAAGGGAAACGATTGCTCAAACCAAGTTATTTGATAGATTTCTATCATATTGGTGTCGCATGTGGTTAGTCTCAGTTCTACTACGGTTTAAACAGGACTGTGTTTTTTTCAAATTAATGGCGAAGAATGAAAGAACCAACGCGAAGAGAGGTTGTGACGACACTTGGCTAAGAAAATGATCTTTGGGATCTGGTCTGCCTCATGGTGGCTCACTGGCGGTAACTCACCGAGGACACGACACTTGGCTAGGAAAATGATCTTGGGGATCTGGTCCGCCTCATGGTGGCTCACTGGCGGTAACTCACCGACGACACTGGTTAGCCAGGTACCCACCCCAGAGGGATGCCAATTCGATCCCCATAAGGGTTTGCTAAGAATGTCAATAGGATGAGCAACCTCGTCTGCAGTTAGGACCTCCGTGGGTGCCAGGGGTCACCGAAGGGAGCGTGCGGGCATTCATTCGTGCAAATGAAGTAGCACCAGCAGGTGCGAAAGCTCAGGTGAACCCATCAAGTAACCAGTCATTTAGGTCACTCGAAAAGAGTTGGAGAGATGATAACACATACCCAACCTGCTAGCACATCGCTAGAAGCCACGTTGCGACCTATAAATTGGCTTGTGCTAGCATGGCAGATGGAAGAAGAACCTGAGCGATACATTAACTCTTTCAGCATAGCTTCACATGCTAGACGTGATCGAGCCCTAGAACGTATGATAACCTAGTTACACGAACTACAGGAGAATATCGAGAGACGTCGTGGTCCCAGACTTTATGGTCCTCCCTTTGTGGATGAGGTGTTCGATGTCCATCTGCCATACATGTTAGGGAGTTCAGTTTTTCTTACAATGGGTCCATAGATTCAACTCGTCGTTTGAGGAACTTTGAGAATATGGTCGTGTTGCATAAGTATAATGACTCGAGTTGCTGACGGGCACTTCTAGGCAGACTAAAGGAACCTGGTCAGTACTATCATCAGCTCCTTGAATTCAATAAGAACCTTCGAGGGTTCAACTCGGTGTTGATCAATCAATTCTCTAGTGCACGTAAGCACGAAAAGAGTGCGTACACGTGCCCTCGGCTTCAGAGAAAGTAAACCCAAGAGGATTTACAAGAGGGTTGCAACCTGATCCCTTAAGAATTCACTGTCTAAATGACCTGCGAAGTCGTATGACGAGCTTTTAAAGGGTTGCTCCAAGTATATCAATATGGAAGTAGCGTAAGTTGATTTCTTTCATCTCGATGCAAGACAAGATAAGGACAAAGATAGAAGAGCGACGTCGACCTGACGAGACGAGGTCGGGTCACGATGGTAAGCAATTAGATGAGAATCGAGATGAACGACAATGCAACTGGAAACACTCAACTTTCATAGTTGAATGTACTATGCAATCTTGTTTTTTACTGCACCAATATATTGCACCTCCACCAATAATAACAGGCAATACATGCACACATATTATGTATAAATATACACATATTCTTATATAAATATCCCATCCCCCTCCCCCCTTTTTTTTGGTAACCAATTTCGAGATTTTTGTACCAAAATGTGTCAGTTATTTATGAAATCAAATCTAAATATAAATTAATTAAAAATACGTACAACTTTTTCATATCATTTTTATTATTTAATCAAAATACGAATTACATTTTTTTAACAAAAAAAATGTTGATTGGCCGAATTTCCCTTTTCAGTTTTTTAGAAAAAAAACTAATT